GATACATAGGCACTTGGGATAAAGGAAAATCAAACGCCAGTTTCAAAATTTGGCTTTGCGCATGCGCAGTGCCACCTTTTTTATTTATGGAAGAATTTAAATGAAATGTGATACATAGGCACAATAAAGGAAAATCTAGCGCTAGTTTCAAAATTTTATTTTGCGAATGCGCAGTGCCAACTTTTTTATCTATGGAACTATTTAAGTGAAATTTGATACTTAGGCGCTTGGAACAAAGGAAAATCTAAAATTAGTTTTAAAATTTAGGTTTGCGCATGCGCAGTTCCAACTTTCTTATTTAGAAAAGCATTGAAATGAAATTCTTCTCATAAACTGAAATTAAAGTAGCACGTCAACAATTGATTGCCCATGTGCAACGCTATCTTTCATATTTGTGGGCGGATTTTTACGATTTTAACAGAAGTTGCATCTTACAAATGGGAAATGAATGCAAGTGGAAATGCGCTTTATTTAAATCGTTTACGTAACCGATTACTTTTAACTTGTTTGTAAATTGTTGCATGGTTCTGCCAGGGTCATAGGAACTCACAAGAGCACTACCTTAAAACCCAAGAAAATGAAAAGTGAACTAACTAATAATCAGGTGCTAATTAAGTGGCCTGTTTTCAATTCTGTGCCTCTTTTTAGGCGCATTTCACAAAAATAAAAAAATAAGTGCGCTATTGTGGCGCACTTTGTCCGTCCTGTCCGTTCCGTCCGTCCGTCCGGTCTGTCCCGTCCGTTCCGTCCGTCCCCCGCTAACTTTGCGACGACTAACTAGTTCTTTATCTTAAGAGCTATTGTTCTATTTTTTGACTATTTGGCGACTTCGTTAAGGTGTCGAGTCCTTGTAACCAAGGAAGGATTTTCTTATCGTACCGCTTACAAAAAAGTTATTGTAAAAAACAAAAACCGTTTTTACATGTTCATAATTTTAATACACTTTTGCCGTTTATTTAACGATCCTAGAGATCGTTTATAATTTTGCATTGCTATCTGTCGTCTGCATGCTGGTCTGTCCGTCTGTTCCTTTGTCTGTCTGTCCATCTACCTGTCCGTGTGAACGATAACTTTGTTTAGAAATGTTCGATCGCTTTTACATCTCCGTTAGTTATGAACTGAATTGCATGAAATTCAATATGGACATAGCTTTAGCCATATAATACGCAATGCCAAAAGTTGAATCGAATCGATTCAAAATTCACAGTGCCCTTTTTGCATCTCGACCATTTATAAACCGAATTGCAAACTTTTTTACTTATAAAAGTATTTGAATGAAATTTGATACATAGGCACTTGGGATAAAGGAAAATCAAACGCCACTTTCAAAATTTGGTTTTGCGCATGCGCAGTGCCAACTTTTTTATTTATGGAAGAATTTAAACGAAATTTGATACATAGGCACTTGGGATAAAGGAAAATCAAACGCCAATTTCAAAATTTGGTTTTGCGCATGCGCAGTGCCAACTTTTTTATTTATGGAAGAATTTAAACGAAATTTGATACATAGGCACTTGGGATAAAGGAAAATCAAACGCCAATTTCAAAATTTGGTTTTGCGCATGCGCAGTGCCAACTTTTTTTATTTATGGAAGAATTTAAATGAAATGTGATACATAGGCACTTGGAATAAAGGATCATCGAGCGCCAGTCTCAAAATTTTCTTTTGCGCATGCGCAGTGCCAACTTTTTTATCTATGGCACCATTTAAGTGAAATTTGATACTTAGGCGCTTGGAACAAAGGAAAATCTAACAATTAGTTTCAAAATTTAGGTTTGCGCATGCGCAGTTCCAACTTTCTTATTTAGAAAAGCATTGAAATGAAATTCTTCTCATAAACTGAAATTGAAGTAACACGTCAAAAATGGATTGCCCATGTGCAACGTTATTTTCATATTTGTGGCCGGATTTTTACGATTTTAACAGAAGTTGCATCTTATAAATGAGAAATGAATGCAAGTGGAAATGCGCTTTATGTAAATCGTTTACGATTACTTTTTAACTTGTTTTATTTTTACTTCTACTATTTACATGATTTAAGCAGACAGCCACTGTGTTTACAAAAACAAATACGTCTTTAAGTGTTCGTGAGATGGTGTATTCAAAAGTGCTAATTTATTTCTTTAAACCCAAAAAGTTACAAAAATTGTTCGTACAAATTTTACAAAGGCGTACTTCGAAAACAAATTGCTATATTGTGACACCGCAACCCTTTCTTAGACAATATAGTTTTAAATTCGCTATCTTAACCTTTCAATTTCATTTTGATAAAGCAAAGTCAATGCCAGGCAATCGCATTAAATGGTAAATAGTAAAAATATATTTAGGATATAAAAGGAACCACAAATGTTTATTAAATTTCTAAAAGGCGATCGATTTCGGATTTTCTATCTACCCATCATCAGGCTATGCTAAAATATCACATGAATTACAGTTGAACATAAAATTAAAGTTATTACCGTCATTTGAATTATATATAAAGCAGCAACATTGATTAAAATTGGATAAAAGTGTTAAAAATTACATTAATGAAGACGAAGGTTCATCGGAATATCTTGACTAGGAAAACTCTGTAAAAATAAGTAAAGTGAAAACGGGCATGTATGTGTGAGAGGGTGTGTGTAAATGTGTATGGTTGTATGTTTGAATATATTATGTGAAATACCTTATATGGAAGCAAATATAAAATTTATAAAATTTTAGTTCTTAAAGACGCATGTTGAAAGTTTGGTTATTAATTTATGACAGAAGAAAAATTATAGGTTATGGTAAACTTCATAGGCGTGCGGTATGACATGGGCGTAGCATGTGGTGCCCATGTCATACCGCACGCCTATGAAGTTTACCATAACCTATAATTTTTCTCCTGTCATAAATTAATAACCAAACTTTAATAACTTTAATTTTATGTTCAACTGTAATTCATGTGATATTTTAGCATAGCCTGATGATGGGTATAGATAGAGAACCCGAAATCGATCGCCTTTTAGAAATTTAATAAACATTTGTGGTTCCTTTTATATCCTAAGAATTTACAAAGAACCCAAAATAATGGAGAACTACATTACATATAAAAATATATTTGATTATACAGGGTGGCGCACGGTAAGTAGGAACATACGGATTTAACATGGGAAATTAGTTGTATGCAAAATCCTGCCCTCCTGTACACTTTACAGAAAAAACTGTAAAGTTTAAATTTGTTCAGAATTAAGATGCATACAAAACTGTTTTTATATGTATTATGACGATACATAATCAAACGTGCCAAAGCGGTGACGTTACATTTGGTATGGTACTGGCTATACCCAGTTAGAATTTCATTCAATTCGGTTCCTAAATGGCACAGATGACAAAAATGATCAAAGTCCTTGAGGACTTCGGTGGATTTTTGTGTGGTAGATCAGCATTTTACTGGCCAGCTTTGAATTCACCATCAGTAAGATCTTGTCGGGGGCTATTCCCTTTGTCGGTACCCATTTCCGACGTATTGTTCCGGAATAAAGTGCAATCGTATGGTCCTTCGAAGGCAGTAAAACTTTTTGTTTACGTTTAACCCTAAAATGTAGAAAAAAAATGATTTAGGTTCCTTCTATTCATAAATGACCTCCCAGAATACATTTCTAGCGGTAAATTATTTATGTACGCCGACGATACCACTGTTGTGGTGAGTGGAAATACTACACAGGATATCGTCCATAATGTCGAGATAGTACTAAATCAATTTGAGTCATGGTGTGGGAAGAATGGGCTAGCTGTCAACTACAACAAATCTGCGTTCATTGAAATTCATTCCAAATACTGTGATACGAACACATTCACCTTTAAAATGAACAACCATGTAATACCAAGTGCACGGAGCACAAAATTCTTAGGCATACGCCTTGATGATACGTTGTCTTGGTCTACCCAGGTGTCTGATGTCTGCTGCAAGCTTAACAAGATTTTCTACCTAATGGTGAAGCTCAAAAACTCATTTGGACCTGGAGTTTTACTAAGTGTGTACTATGCATTAGCATACTCAGCGATTAGTTATAATATTGCAGTATGGGGAGCCAGCATTTACTGTGACAGAGTGTTTGTGTTGCAAAAAAGACTACTCCGATTAATTTTCAATATTAAATACAACCATTCGTGCCGAGAGGTTTTCCGTAGCCATCGAATTCTCACCTTGTTTTCCATATAATTATGTACTCCACTGTGTGACTCACATACATATGCACAAGAATACCTATTTGCTCAATAAAGATGTGCACACTTACGATACTAGACACAAAGATAATCTCCGGCTAATAAAACCAGGACATTCTTTTTTTAAGAAGTCGCCAGAGTATAAGAGCGCTTTATATTATAACTTGTTGCCTAGTGCCTTCAAAAACTTGACAAAACCACAATTTAAAAGAAAAGTTAAAGAGTTTTTGTCATTAGGAGTTTTTTATAATGAAAAGAATATTTAATTAGATAGATGAAGTACCTCCCCAATATGTGTTTAAATTATATATACATTTCTATGTTTGTTTGTTGACGTGTAAATTTGTTGTGTAGGTATACAATTGTTATTTACAAATAAAAATGATATGATATGATGATGATGATGATATATATCTAGTCTTTCAAGTGTTTTCTTAAACATTTTCATAAGAATAATTGTAGTTCAGAACATTTTTTTGGTCTTCAATTTTGACGCAGTGAGGTTAGTTTCAAAATTGTCAGAACTTTTGCTAAGATTACCTAATAAAGAATATGGAGAGTCTAATTACATTTGCAAAATTGTATCAATGAAGGGCTATAAGTTCAACTCAAACAATTATCATCTCTGGGGAAGCTACAGTCACCAACAACTTGCAAGTCCTAGGAGTCGGTAATTGGAAAACTTTGACCAATAAAAGCATGCAAACACAATGAAATATGGGAAACCAAGATAATAGTGAGTGGGGGATTCGAACCTCGTGTAAATGTGGGTACGTCATTGTCAATAATCGCATCGATCTATAAAAGCTGAAAATGAAGTACCTACCTCTACAGGGCATCATACATTTGATACCTACTAATCGTATAGATACAATGTCGCCGATTCTAATACTGGCAGGTGTGTGCCTGTTTATTTACTTCGTGCTAATTAGACCTTTCCAATTTTGGACGAATAGGGGAGTGATCCAGTTCAGCGTTGGGAAGTTGTGGGTGGACAGGGCGAAGATGATTGTGCAGGCGAATCCGATGGCGGAAAACTTGAAGAAGTCGTACGATGGTTTTCCAGGTGCCAGGTAACTTTAATCATTTTATAGTATACTAGCTTCCCGACCAGGATTCGCACGGGTGTTTATAATTTACTTATTCGTGGTTACATGTTGGGATGGATGTGTATGATGTTGGTTACAGAAAAAATAAACTCTTAAAATTTGGATTGAAACCCCTTCCCGAATTATATTTGCACCAAAAAATTGTTTTCATTTGGAATATACAAATCAGTTCAAATGGTTCAGGTGGCATTGTAAGTTGCGGTAATTTTACCTTCCTACTGGCGCAATATAATAAAAAATACTAAGATACACGTGTGTAATTGGTCCTTAAAGCACTTGCAACGTTAAAGGCACCCCGCTTCGCGTCGTGCCATTACACTCGTTGCGCGTGGCTTTAAAAGACTTGATTATACACTTTGTATCTTAATGTACTATTATATAACAAGGTTTTCCAAGTAAATTGGGCTGCAATAGTCGTTCTCCTTGAACAGCGCTGTTTATTTAGTGATAATGATTGATTTATAATTAGACCATCGAATATCCAACTCGTTGGACGCTGTTTATTTAGTGATAACGATTTATGTATAATTATGGCTAAAGAACCATGACACCTGCAACAATTTGTGTGAGAGTATAAGTATGAGCCAACAAATTTTATCACCCCTGTTGGGAGCTACGGTTTGGACCAAGAATAAAGAATGTTTCCTTGCCTTCCAAAATTTTCTATTTCTCTTTACTTTTTATCTCAATCTTATCAACTTTTTTAGATTATTATTCTTTTAAATTACGGCGCAGATAAAAAAACGACACGAATTTAACGCAACGTTTTCAACCTTTGGGCAAGTAGCGTGAAGTACCCGGTTGTAGGGCAATTCGCACCCGAATAATTCGCTCTCGGACAATTCGCACCCGGATAATTCGCACCAGAATAACTTGCACCAGAATTTCGCTCCCCTGAGAGGGTATTTTGTGTACGGTTGATTTTTAACATAGAAAGTCGGCTGTGAAGTATTAAATTAACTCAGAGTTTGAATTCTCCAATATTACTCACCAGTATCACGTTTTATTACTTTGTGCATGTAATAGACGTATACCTTCAATATTAAGGTATAATTTGGAATCGTGACGTACATTTTGTGTTCAAACTCTAAATGAGATAATTTATTAATATTGAATAAAAGTTCTCTAAACCGTTCCCATAATATTTAATAAAACGAAGTGATACACTACATGTTTCGACCAACGGTCATCTTCAGGTGATCTACAAGATGGTAGAGATAATTGAGGAGAGACTATAGCTATAAAACTTGCAATAGATGGAAAACAATTAAAAACCCAAAAGGGCAGTAAAACTGGAACGGCCAACGACCATATCCGTGGTTGGTTCCAGAGTAAAATTGAAATTTGAAGAGGTTGATAAACTAAATTTTTTGCAAGGAAGGGCCGAACCTAAAAACTCACATTAGACGACGGTATAAGCAACGATGAAACTTACGTATAAAAAAGTCAAAAGGTCCAAAGACGATATCATAACTAATAAAATACCCAATTAAGGGCTTTGAAACTGGAAACCATCTGCACTTCCAAAATCAGTGCTCGGTTTAGCTAATCTTACCTTGTCATCGTTGACCCAGATCCTGGCATTGCATGTTAAACTAAGAGCCGATGGATCCTTCTTTGCTCTTCTCGCTCGACACAGCCATGATGAGCAGTTTTGGAGTTTAAGGTTCTTAGCAAAGAGGTACATGTATCCTTCATAGATTATGTATCTCTTTCCCCTTTTCGTTGTACCGAACTCCATTGTTACGCGCCCGTATAGTTTGCACCGCCTAAATCTCATATCCATTATCAACTTTTTGTAATAAATCAAATTTCAACTTTTAGCCTCAGGGACAAGTCCATTTTTGATGATATTTTCCTTGATTTTGGCATTTTAATGTGGCACTTAAATATTTATGTTGGTTAAACAATAGCCATACAATTTGTAGGGGAATAATTTTTTTAATACGATTTATGAGGCAAGAATTCATACGTACAATCCTATGTACCTTTTTAAATGGAATGGACCATATCAAAGCAGTAGGGGTTTTAGGTCACTTTATTTTATTGTAATCTCCGTATTAAACATAAGAACACTTGCTAAAGGTACCATGAATGAAAATTTATTTAAAAAAAAAAACAAAAAAAAAAGACACTCACCTGTGATGTAAATTGTCCATGCACTCATGTTCACAAGTAGACGGATGCTGCTAAACGCTGGTATCGGTCTATCAGCAAAACTGTCACCTGCCATTTCTTAAACCTATTTACCCAGTTTTATTGTACCAATTCACAATCAAGGTTTTTTTCATTTGGAAACCTTGTAGCACGTACAAATAATATTGCAATAGGAATATAAAAGTCTAAATAAAATTTTAACAATTATTATTTGTTAATAGCTGCAAGTTAAGTTTCCTAGTTCTCTAACTTTCGATGTCATCCATTTAAGGACACATAACGAAATACGTAGGTATGTATTGTCTTAAAAGAATCTCAAGAGTAAATTATAATCATATTTGAACGTAAAACAAATAGATTCTTGAGAGTTTCCGTAAAATTAAAGAGATAAGAACTGTAAAGTAACGAAAAAAGCAAAAAATGTTGATAAATATCGTGAAAAAAATTGATCTTGCTATAAATTATATGGCTATTAATTAAATAATATACTGAACTTGTGAAGATCCATGACTCAATGGGGTGCTTAAGAAGCTTCGGAGAAATAACACCAAAATCTACCCATTTATTATTATAACAATTTTTTATGGGGAGATTTTGGTGTTATTTTTCCGCAGCTAAATAATATACGGTGGTGCATTAGAAACGATACATAGCTATTTTTGTAAATTAAAATTCAAAAAACGCTTTAGCACGTCAAATTAATCGTGGAAGGAAACAGTGTCTAAAATAAAACTCAATAATGTCTTTGTCTCGCGTCGCTGACAGTGCAACCCTTAAAATCTTAAATGATGCATCGTTGGTAAGGTCGCCCATCTCTGAATTCGGATACGTAATTTTTTTGGTTTAGTTGTTTCATTTCCAGCGCATTCGACGTTGCAGGTACAAGTTTTCTCTTTTTTATACCATCTTGCAACTGCATAATTTTGACGCACGATCGCATTAGTTTCTATTACATAGTGATCGGCCCGACATCCTTCCAATGACATAAACAACAGCGCGCCCTCAACTTACTTTTAAAATATTTCGAAGATATCTAATCTAAAAAATTATAGTCTCACCAAATTCAGATAAGGAAAGCCTTTCCTATGATGTCCTTATCTTCCTTGTTGCGCAATTACCAATGCTAAGGGTTTTGCTTTAGTACTAGGTATGCCATACAAAAATTAAAAAGGAAGTATATATAGGTACTTATTAATTACAAACATTTAAAAGAAAAAATCATCAATATCGACCTGTTCCTAAAACGTTTCAAGATTTTTAAAAGCTTTACTGTTTTGATTATTAACAATCTCTTAAAAGATTGCCAGAATTTTTCCGTGTATCTCTTCAAACTATAAAATAAATAAGAGTACGAAAATCAAAAAGAAACTTTTAAGTTCATTCACTACCATAGTTGTAGCAAAGATAACGCAAAAAAATAAGCAGTTAGTGTAATTTTACTCAGGCACCATAATCAACATGTAGCCATATGTGGTCAAAGAAACGTAAAACTGGTTCTAAGAAAACTGGAAACTTACCATTTCTGAACACCACCACAACACTACCACCAGAAATAAAATTTTTTAAAATTAAAAAAAAAGTATACACAAAATCAAAACCCGTGCTCAGATAAATTTTAAAATACCACTCTGCCAAACGTTCAAGAATGAACGCTTCCGCCAACTCCTGGAGTCATTGAAATTCTCTCGTTTCCTAAGAACCGAGCCTTCAAGGGTTTTTGTAGGTCTTTCAGAAGTTAAAAATCTTGGATGTTCAAGGATCAGCGTCTTTAAAAGCACATGTAGGAACATTAACATCCTTATATGCAGCCTTTATGAGTCCTTAATGTTGAACACACTTGAACATGTTTGAATTTCACATTTTTGATACGAAATTTGAGCAAACGAAATCAAGGAAAAGTGTAAAAATACGAGCGCAGTCGTACCGTTTTGGTGGTCGCACAATTTTAAACCCAATTTGAAGCAATAAAAAATAAGAAATCCGACTCAAAATAACGACAAAATTACATAAGTAGGTTGGACGCACTTGTGTCTTTTTGGTGAGTGTGTTTCCACCTTTTTTTAAGACTAAATTTGAGTAAATAAAAATTCAAAAAAATACTTATGAAAAATTACGTAAGTACGTTGGGTGCACACCTACCATTTTGGTTAGCATATTCCCACCTTTTTTTGAGACCAAATTTGAGCAAAAGTTGCAAGTGAGGAAAAAGTCTACAATACGAGCGCCGTTGCTCCGTTTTGGTGACCGTTCTTTTTTAAAGTCCTAATCATGAGGATGCCATGCAAAAATAGCTGGATAGTATGAATCTAATACTAGACAAGATTTTTTGATATCATACTACCAGTATTTTTATCTATCTGCAAGATACTGAATAGAACAAACAATGGCAATCGAGAGAAAATTAAAGAAGAAACGCAAATTTTGAAACTTTTGAATAGTTCCCGTGCAAAACACTTTAGGCCTTATTCTGTGATTGTACCGTCCTCGTTTGATTTGGTTAATACCTACTGACTTTGAATCCGAAAAGGCTCACCTGTTTTACGCCAGAGGGATAACTTATTTAAATTCCTCAAATAATTATGTCCCATGCGATTCATGAATGTGGAACAAGTTTGTTCGCCATTGCTATTGTGGAGAATTTGTCAGAAAATGTAGTAGGAATTCCCATAAATTCAGGATTCTGTTTTTTATTTCAGATTTGCCGGCTTGTACCAGCTAGCGAGACCGATATTGGTAATCAGGGACCCTGAACTGATCAAACAGATCACCGTTAAGGACTTCGATTACTTCATCGACCATAGCCCACTCGTGCCCAAAGACTGTGAACCTTTATGGGAAAAAAATCTGCTTAACCTTAAAGGTAACGACACTCCTATTGGCGATTTAAGTTGCTATGAACTGCAGGTGAGAGTTGGAAGGAGATGCGAGCGACGCTAAGTCCATCGTTTACCAGCAGTAAAATGAAAGCCATGTTTAATTTAATGACGGAATGTGCTGAGAGGTTTGTAAATTACTTCAGAGTTGAAGGTTCGGAGGACACGGTTACGGTGGAATTGAAGGACACTTTCACGCGATTTACTAACGACGTTATCGCGTCCGTGTCATTTGGAATGGATTGCGATTCCCTAAAAGAGCGAGAGAACGAATTCTATCGAATGGTTAAGGAGGCGGCGAACTTCAGCTTCAGCGGATTATGCAATAACATGAAGTTCGTCATAATGTTGTTATCACCAAAGTTGGCGACTGTAGGTAACTTTATCATCGACTAATTGGCTGTCAGTGTACTGTTTTTAGTTTTTTGGACTACATCTATTTAGCAATAAAGTTAGTACCTTCTTTCGAAACCTTGTGACTGGTAACATGGCCGAACGCGAAAGGAATGGAATTGTGCGACCTGACATGATTCACCTTCTCATGGAGGCGAGAAAAGGACGACTGAAGCATGAACGGTCGAACGAGATTATCGACTCAGGATTCGCCGCCATTGAAGAATCCGAAATTGGAAAGGACGAGAATAGGCAAAAATTAGAGTTGAGTGACGATGATGTGACCGCCCAGTCTATGATTTTCTTCTTTGCCGGATTTGAGACGGTTTCCACTTTGATGTGTTTTACCGCATACGAGCTTGCAGTTAATCCGTATATACAAGAAAGGTTACGAGAGGAAGTCGACAACGTTTTGAAGGATGGAAACGGGATCCTAACGCATGAAGGGTTGATGAAAATGGAGTACATGGATATGGTGATATCGGGTAAAGTTTGAGTGAATACAGGGTTGGCGCTAACATATCATTCCAGAAGTTTTACGCAAGTGGCCACCCGCCGTGGGAACTGATCGAATGTGCGTCAAACCGTACACGATTCATCCTGAAAGAGAGGGGGAGAAACCGGTTCATCTGAAAAAGGGAGACGTTGTTTTTATGATTATGTACGGAATACAACGGGACGAGAAGTACTTCCCCGATCCAGATCGTTTCGATCCTGAAAGGTTTAGCAAAGAAAATCGAAAGAACATCACACCTTACAGCTACATGCCGTTCGGCGCTGGACCGCGCAGCTGCATTGCAAACAGATTCGCTCTACTTGAAACTAAATTGCTAATTTTTAACGTTTTGAGGTACTTCGAAATAGTCGTTGTCAAAAAATCGGTAGTTCCAATTAAACTGTCACGAAAACAGTTGAATCTAAATGCCGAGGGAGGGTTTTGGTTTGGACTGAAACCTCGAAAGGTTTATTACTGAACTACCAATAGAGTAAGTGTAAATGGTATATAGATGCAGAATAAAGTATTCATCATATTGTATTTTTATTCTTTCTCATTAAGTCATTATTATAAACGTAACTGTAAAAATCAGAAAACCAATAGCATCTTTAAGAGTAAACCCATATTTTTATGTTTTTCGGATCATCATTACAGGACACAATTTTGAAGTTACCGAGTTCCAAATTTCAGGGTTGTAAGGATCCTAGGGGTCTCTCAACCCGACTGAAAACGTTGACTTGCCTTGTACTTACCGTTGGCAACCCGGGAAAAAAACTACGAGCAGGGCCACCTACCTTTCAAGTCGAAACGATGGAGGTTTCGCGGTACTTTTGAATTTGGCCCAGTATGTATGGCACGAATGAAGTCTTACGTTGTGTAATCGGTTGGGACGTGAGACAGATTCGGGAAGGGAATTAAATAAAAAACAGAATTTTTGTGCGTAAGAATGACAAGAACAGATAAATATATAATCTTACGCACACAATTAGAATATTCCAGGAAAACCTTCTATGGGACAAAAACCCCGGCATAGGCCACACAAATACATGAAATGAATCACCCACAGCAACAAAAGGCAAGAGAAAATATACACATAAGTAAAACATCTCAAATTGTAAGATAAAAATTAGGTAATCGAATCAAACGCAATTAAACAAATATATAAAAACAAAATACACAAGAGATAATAAATGCAGTGGAAAACATAATAAATCAATTTATTACAAAAACACATTAAAATACATATACCTACGATCAATTGAGATAAAACAACTCGTAAATTAATAAAATGCATGTGCATGAGAAACATTAAAATTGTATTGGGTACGTACTCCACGGAGACAAGTTGAACCACTCACACACAGAAACATCAAATAAGAGAACCCCCCTTTTCGTATAGCTCACGCACAAGAACTGTGCTGTACCATGAATAAGAAAGTAACTGATACATCAAACTGTGTTAGGTACTTCCCTCGCGGAATAGTTACGATTCAATTTAGCAGAGCAACATCACACTTATAATCAACTCCCCTCCATCGACCCCGTGGCCATCTTCCTCATTCCGCCACGCTCTTCGTTATGAAAATCCCCTAGTCTTCGGCATCTGCGCAAAACGGTTGATTGGTTCTATACCTACAGAGCATATCGTATTTTTGTTTCAGATGTAAAGGTGTTGCCTAAACATAAGAGTATGTAGCTTTGTTGAACTCTGTTTTTTGTCAGTGTGAGCGAAAATTAAATTCAGCATATTACACAGAGTGATTTATTGATATGATGAAAATGCTACCTTAACGGGCTAATAAATATTGAATGGCAGGAGCTTCTGGTTTCTTACTGTTCTAGCGTTGTTGCTTGTCACGGTGTTTACTATAGTCTTTGCACACAGTCGGGTCGACATTCGTCGGGGGATAAAGCCAGATTGGTTTGGTTGGAAAAGGGGTTGGGGGGGGGGGGGGGGGGGGTCGTCCGATAAAATGAGGTAATCGTAAATATTTTTGAAAATAGTAGGAACTGAGAAAGGATCATTAGTAAAACGGCACCACGCAGTGCAAAATCTGAAAGTCGATGGCGCAAAGCGTATTGTTTATCGTGCGACCTAGAGCCGTTAGGTAGATCCCGAAAAAACGCGAAATCATTTCCATAGGTATATCGTCACATTCCGGACGAATATTTTCACAGCGTTTCCAAGAAGAAAAACGAAGTTGAAATTTTCCAGACTCCAGACGCTAAAACTCAATGCAAGCTAATATGTAATGATCGCCAGGAGAGAATGCCGGTCACAGAACACCTGATTCCGGTCTACAATCGTCTTTCATATTAAACCATACGATTGTAGACCGAGTTCAAGTGGTCTGTGACCGGAATGCGAGCTTAATAGAGGAATTGTGATAAATTCATAATACATATTCGTAACACACGTATATGAGAGCTGCTGATCTTTAATATACAGGGTGATATAATTCCAGTAGGATAACATGGCTATCTTTGTTATTATTAAACCTACTTTGGAAAAAAATAATTCATTTCGTAAGTATTTATTTTTCAAATATTTTAGTAACAAAGAGATCTATCGAAAGAAGTTTTAAATAAAAGCTGCAAGATTCAATGGGATATTGGATTTTTACGTCCCTCGATAGACAAAAAAAATTACAAAACCAGTGATACTAAAGAGTTATAAGTACTTCATTTGGGAATCAACCTTGCATTTTTGCCTCGAAACTTACAATGTATATCTTACGGCCATTTCTTATCGTTCATTTGAGACCATCCTTTATGTTTTCGTTCTAAACATAAAAATGTGGGTTCGCTTGGTTTTCTGAAATGTATAGGTTTATGGTAACGAGGAAGAAAGATACGAAATTCAATATAATAAATACTTTATTTGATCTAAATCAATTTACACCTACTCTATTGATAGATTTAGTAATGAACATTTCGAGGTTTCAATCCAAACCAAAAACCGTCCTCGGCATTTAGATTTATCTGTTTTCGTGATATTTTTACTGGAATTACTGACTTTTTGACAACGACTATTTCGAAATATCTCAAAATGGTAAAAAATAGCAATTTAGTTTCAAGTAAAGCGAATCTGTTTCCAATGCAGCTGCGCGGTCCAGCACCGAACGGCATGTAGCTGTAAGGTATGATGGTCCTTCGATTTTCCTTGCTAAACCTTTCAGGATCGAAACGATCAGGATCGGGAAAGTACTTCTCGTCCCGTTGCATTCCGTACATAACCATAATAACAAGGTCCCCCTTGTTCAGATAAACTGGTTTCTCCCCGTCTCTTTCAGGGTGAATCGTGTACGGTTTCACACACATTCGATCACTTCCCACGGCAGTTGGCCACTTGCGTAAGACTTCTGGAATGATACGTTAGCGTTAACCCTGTATTCACTCAAACTTACCCGATACCACCATATCCATGTACTCCATTTTCATCAACCCTTCATATGTTAGCGTCCCGTTTCCGTCCTTCAAAACGTTATCGACTTCCTCCCGTAACTTTTCTTGTGAAAATGTATCAACTGCAAGCTCGTATGCTGTAAAGCACATCAAAGTGGAAACCGACTCGAATCCGGCAAAGAAGAAAATCAATGCCTGAGCGGTCACATCATCGTCACTCAACTGTAACTTTTGCCTATTCTCTTCCTTTCCAATTTCGGATTCTTCAATTACGGAGTATCCAGAGTCGATAATCTCGTTCGACCGTTCATGCTTCAGTCGTCCCTTTCTCGCCTCCATGAGCAGGTGAATCATGTCAGGTCGCACGATTCCATCCCTTTCGCGTGCGGCCATGTTACCAGTCACCAGATTTCGAAAGAAGGTACTAACTTTATTGCTAAATAGATGTACTCCAAAAAACTAAAAACATTGCACTGACAGCCAATTGGTCGACGATAAAGTTACCTACAGTCGCCAACTTTGGTGATAACATCATTATGACGAACTTCATGTTATTCCAAAATCCGCTGAAGCTCGTCGCCTCCTTACCCATTTGATAGAATTCGTTTTCTCGCTCCTTTAGGGAATCGCAATTGATGCCAAATGACGCGGACGCGATAACGTCGTTAGTAAATCGCGTGAAAATGTCCTTGAATTCCACCGTAACCGTGTCCTCGGAACCTTCAACTCTAAAATGATTTACGAATCTCTCAGCACATTCCGACATTATATTAAACATGGCTTTCATTTTACTGCTGGTAAACGAAGGACTTAGTGTAGCTCGCATCTCCTTCCATCTCTCACCTGCATCTCATACTCAATAAATTTGATCCTCAACGGAGGAGTAGGGTTACCTTTGAGAGCAAACAAATTTTTGCCCCATAAAGGTTCACATTCTTCGGGCACGAATTGGCTATGGTCGATGAAGTGATCGAAGTCCTTAACGGTGATCTGTTTGATCAGTTCAGGGTCCCTGATTGCCAATATCGGTTTCGCGAACTGGTACATGCCGGCAAATCTGAAATACAAAATGGAATGCTAAATTAAAGAATTAAGGAAATCATGAAATAGAACTAAAGTCGTTAGAACGTGGAATGATTCCCAATATCGCAGTCACATTACTACATTGAACTTTAATACTGGTGGATAGGAGGAGGGAAGAAGGAGAGAACCAGCAGAGGCACGGGAATCTTAATTAGGAAACACCGAGACATTAGGGTTGAGAAACTTGAAGAAAGAGGCGAGAGTATATCTATGGCCCAGATGAAGACGAGCGTAGGAAGACTAACGCTTATAAGATGCCACATCTCCTCGCACAAAAGAGAACAAGCGGAGCGAAACAATAGAGAAAGATACCCGGATATCACATTAAGCGATTTCAATGCGAAAATGGGCAGACTAGGCGGAAGGGAAGGGGAGGAACAGGCAAAATGCACAAGAACGGGCAAAACAACTCAGGGGCATGGTACATCTGCATGGACTGAGGGTGGAAAACACATTCAGCAAATCCAAATCGGTACTAACAACATGGAGAGGAAACTCTGAATCAAAGATCGACCGCACAGTAAGGACCAAACCGGTCAGAGCAGTAGGATCGGATTTCTATATGGTAAGGGGGAAAGTAAGTGGAGAAGAAGAAGAGGAAGCAAACCGGGAGAACTGAATGGTGGACGATCATAGCTCGGACGAGAGTGAACACCTAAGCGTTAACAAAGAGCAACATACAAACATTGAGGAGGGCGGAACAGAAGGCATTAAGGATACTGAAGGAAAACAGCAACCTCACAAGAACAGATAAGGGAATTACTCGAAAGGAAGACGATTATCAGGAGACTGAAGATGAGGCAACTGAGATACTGGGGGCATATAAACAGGAGGAACAAAAATCATATACTGCAGGTGGTCAAGCATCTACGTGCCTCGGAAGGGAAAGTAGGCCGGCCCTGCTTCACATGGAACACCAGTATAGATCAAACGGTAGCGGTCTGGGGATTCCCATAGACATAGAGAGATGGTAAAAGTGGAGCAGAGACAAACACAAAATGAAGAAAGGAAGCAGAAGAGTACTGGAGGTGGAGGAAAAATCAGACATAAGTACAAGCAGTCAAGATGAGGAGGAGGAGGAGACAGAAAGAGAGGCAGGGAGAGGGAAACAATTAGAAAGGGAGAAACATGAAGGAAAGAAACGAGACCAAAGGATGGAGGCATCGGAAACTAATGTCGCGACCCAGCGCGATGGCAACAAATAATTGCGATAGTACAAGATCGTTCGAAATTCCTTTGCCATGGGTGGAAAAGGCTCATAGGTTAAAACGCCTCAAACTTTCAATCTTTTTTTTAAGGTCTAGGACGCTGGCTGGATTATATAACAAGGTAACCTTTACCTTCATTATCAGTTGGAAGTTGTCAGGTTCATTACGATGCGGCGTAATGAAAGCCAGTTACATCAATCTAAGTACCTAGTCATTATCCTATTTGACCTTTAGATTCAATTACAAGATAAATACTTTAAAGTGTGTGAAACAATCACTAGTTTCGTTTTTTCAAGTAAACTGTGTTGTAATTGACCTTCCCCTTGAACATCGCTGTTTATTTAGTGATAATGATTTATTTATAATTTTACATATAGAAGCTATGACACCTGTAAATATTTGCCTTTGAGGGCACCATAAGCCAACAAATTTAACTACTCTTTCTGGAAGTTACGGTTTGATTATACACCAAAAATAAAGAATGTTGCCAAAAACTTTTTATCTCAGCAACAATGACGCCGCAACCCTTTCCGATTTTGTGAACTATTTAAAATTATTACCAGACTCAAAGAAATATGGTGTAAACAAAAAAGGCCACGGAATTAACGCATAAGTTTGAAACTTTTGAGCAAGTAGTGTGGAGTACTGAAAAAGAAGGAGCATGACACAGGTTTACATTTTGACTTATGACCTAGAGGGGAAGGAGACTACCCTTCTTTCCCAGAAATAATTTACGAACTGATCAGTCCGGTTCGTGGGCATTCCAGGAGCGCCCGATCGTTCTTTATATGTCAAAAAAGAGTTCGACTATTTGGATTGTTCGAATATTCAATTTTTTTCATTTCTTCCAGTAGTTCAGATTGCTTCACATTGTTTCTTTAAACTTCTCTTTCGGACCCTTCTATTATTTTGATATTTGAGAAAGAGGCCATAATATCGCCTTCCAACATGCATTGGAAAATGCGCAAAAAAAGGAAGGATTGGCTGTATTTCTAAATGCTTTTACAGTACCCCATAAGGGTCTCCGTGAGTTTCTAAGATTGCAAGCCTTTCATTGACTTTGGAAGCCTTTTGGAGACTTTTAAGCCGATAAAGATAAGTAACCGTCTATATAAGATCACTTTTTAGAGATTCTGAATGGTTTTGAAGGCTGTTTAAGAGTCGAAGAGCTTACAGAAATATCCAAAAAGTCTCCAAAATGCTTCCAATAGCTCTTGGAGCCGTTGAGAGTCTCTAGATTCCTAAGAACCGAGCAAAAAAAAAAAAGTCTTGGGAAGGATCACTTTTAAGCGTTTTCAAAAGCACCTATAATGGACATGAAGGAACTTCAAGACCCTTATCCTGCCTTTTGAACATCTTTAGTGTTTCAACATGTTTGAATCCCACCTTCTTTGAGCAAATAAACATAAAAATAAAAATTACGAAACAGTCTAAACATACGAGCGCAGTTGTGCCATTTTTTGAACAAAATAAAAAATGAAAAAACTGTTTAAAAATATGACAAAATTACGTAAGTACGTTGAGGGCACTCCTATCTTTTTGGTGAGCGTATTCCTACCTTTTTTAAGGACAAATTTCAACAAATCAAAGAAGGCTAAACAATATGACAAAATTACATTAGTACGTTGGGCGGACTCGTATTTTTTGATGGGCGTATTCCAGCCTTTTTTGAGACCAAACTTGTACAAGGAGAAAATAAGAAAATGAGTCTAAAAAATATCACATAATTACATAAGAACGTTGAGCGCACTCCTATCTATTTGGTGAGCTTATTCCCACCTTTTTTTGAGACCAAATTTCAACAAATGAAAAAAGTCTAAAAAAATACGACAAAATTACATAAGTAGGTACGTTGGAGGACCTCGTATTTTTTGGGGAATAAATTTGAACAAATGAGAAAAGTCTAAAAATATGATAAAATTACTCGTATCTCTTTGGTAAGCGTGAACCTTTTTTTTGAGACTAAATTTGAGCAAATAAAAGATCTAAAAATATGAAAAAATAGTAGGTACGTTGGGCGCGTACAATACGAGCGCAGTTGTTTCGTTTTGGTGAGTGCTCCTTAAAACCTTCTAAGGGTTTTCGCCATGAGGCTGTTATGCAAAAATAGGTGGATAGTACGAGTCCAATATTTTTTGATATTCTACTACTTAGATTTTTTTATCTACAATAGATCCTGGAAGGAACAAACAATGGTAACCGAGAGAAAATTAAAGAAGAGAAACGCACATTTTGAGACATTTAAATAGCTGCGAAACAAATCATGTTAGATCATTGGTTTCTTTTGGAAAAAATGCTTAATATGAGTAAATTTGAAGAAGAGAGCATTATTGTTCTAGTTTTATAGCCACAGATGGAAATATAATACTATTTACATCAGCTGTGGTATTACGTTCCGGTTGAAATGTTAATGAATTTTAATACCATGCACGACAAACATTTTCAGGGCCATATTAATCACTCCCACATTTACGACAATATCGCAATTACTCAATTAGAGACGCACTTGCTTTATTTGGCGATTTGACACCGTTTGTGATATACTACGAAATGAAGATTAAAGTTACCTGGCACCTGGAAAGCCGTCGTACATCAACCTAAGATTGTCCGCCATCGGCTTCAGCTGCAAAATCACCTTCGCATTTTCCAACCATAACCTCCAAACGCTGAACTGGACGATTCCCCTCCTTGTCCAAAATTGGAAAGGTCTAATTAGCGCGAAGTAGATAAACAGGCACACACCTGCCAGTATTAGAATCAGTGGCATTGTAGGTATACGATTATAGTACTAAATGCACGATACATTGTAGAGGTACTTCATTTTCAGCTTTTATAGATCTATTATGTAGGTACACTCGCACGAGGTTCGAATCCCCCACTCAGACTCACTGTATCTTGGTTTTCAATTTTTCATTTGCCTTCTCTTATGGCGCAAAGTTTTCTAATTACCCACTTCTGTGCGACTTTTAAATTTCGTTTTGATCAAGTGGCCAGTGACTGTAGCTTCCCCAGTGATTATAATTATTGGGAGGCGCATGTGAAGTAGCCGCTTATTGATAAAAAATTGCAAATTAGAATTCTGGGCACTCTCCATACAGTTCTAGGCCTCCTTATTGATCTTAGAAAGGATTCTGACAAATAGGTAAAAAAAAACAATTTTGAAAATAAGGGAAGTCAGCTTCATCCAGCAAAATATTATAATGAATAAGATCCAACATTCCACCAAAAAAATTTCTGAAACTGCTTTTATTATGACAATGCTTAAGAAAACGCGTGAAAGATTATAACCATTTATTACCACCCGCACGTTAGTATTGGGGTACAATATGACCCCCATTTTTTTACGGAAATACACGTTTTGAAGCCCCAGGAATCCGAATTCAAACAAAATCTCGATGATGTCGGTCTGTCGGTACGCCTGTACTTTCATTTCTGGCACACACTAAGAATTCCCGATGCGCTTTCGTGGATGCTTCAATGTTAAGTGGTCTGGATCCGCCCCCAGAATTTGGAAGTAATAAAGGACTGTCTGTAGAATGCCGATTTCCCTGCCTCTAGTTGGGCGGACTGGATGGTTACCGAGAGTGGCCTCGTGGAAGTCTTCGTGTCTTCGTTTTTCTCAAAAAATGCGACTCGAGATTTAATGCGGGCACTGTTACAGCTCTATTGAGATGATACTTGGTTCTCGGTATAATTTTCGTTTTTCTAGGTATCTCTGCAAAGACAATTTGCTGGCAACGCACGGTTTGACTCCGCAAGACAACTGGTATAGATTCAGAGTCTGAGTTGCCCGTGGAATCACTTATATTTATACCCCTTCTCCTTAATATCTACTGTAATTAAGTTTCGCGTATTTTACTACGACGAAGCGATTATAAGTTCTGCACGCCTCTTCTATAAGCTTTTTGTTTTGTCAATTCGACTTCGGTATGAACAGACGCATTTAACGTTGCGGTTATTTAATGACAATGACTCATTTCTAATTACCCCATTCCGAGTACACACACGTAAAGCAGTGTTTATGATCATATTCTATTTACATGTGAAATAGATTTGCATTTCTAACCCGGATTATTATTTTTTGTATTTCAAATTCTTTTTTAGCTTCCTCGCGGTTAAATAATATCGCAATTCGGGCATAATAAATAAAACAAATTTAACTTCCTTCCAAAACATAGCCATTCGTACGCTCAAAGCTTGCCTAAATAAAGTTTACGCATTTTTATCAATTTAAAAAATTCCCGTAGGTATAGGGAAATCCCGTTACACTTGGTTTTTCGCTATATTTAAGGTTTTTTGGTTTTCGGCTGTAGGTCAATTAAACCGTTCCATCTAACGGTAATCAGTGTAGCATTAGGGTGACCTTAACCCCATTGTAATGACTAGTTCTTAGCATATCATATTTCATAGAAAGAATGTGGCGCATCCGCTTTTATTCCTTATCGGCGGTGACTAATCCGTTATCGACTTGATGGCGCCATGATATCGCTTTACAAAATTCGTTACAGTATTTAAAATTTGAAATGTTTTTTATAGGTGGAGTTCTGGAGTTCTGGTCATAGTTGCGGATCACTTTACTACACCATTCTACCGTCGAAGTTTATATTTAAAAACATTTGAAGAGATCTTTTGAAGTGATTTTTGCCGGAACAATTGAGGTTATTTGCGACTGTAAAGGCGTCTTTATAGATCAACAAAAGCTTTTAAAGACTTTAAAGACTCGAAGGCTTTTCGATATAATAGTATAATTATTATATACATATATAAGTAATCCTGATAAGAATTTGGAATGAGTTCTAAGGACCCTAAAGGTCAATTAAAAATTTCGGAGAGTCTATTGTCACTCACAAAAGGCATCCTAAAGGTTCCAAAACCTTTAGAATCCTCTTGGGGAAGACCATTAAAGACTGTTAGAGGCTCACAGATGTACTTAAAAGCTTGACTCAAGAAATCTTAAGAATCGTTCTGCAAGTGTCCTCTAAGAGGCGATCCTTTAAAGGTTTATTCATCCTTAGGGTATAATTGCCTCAAAATAGTTTCCACAAAAGCTTTTAAAAACTTTCATACATACATATTCTTGAAACTTCTAGAAGCCTATTGGCTTTGGCAAGCCTTTAGAAGTCGGCCACGCGTGAAGACATACTTTTAAAGTCCATCAGTTGGGCTTGATACAATAAGTATCAAGTACTCTTTTACTAGAAGCCTTTTAAGACCCTTACATTTTACAACCCTTTAAGAAAAACCTATATGCTTTGAAAGAGTGTTAGAAATGTTTAATGGCTGTAAATAACTACCTAAATAAGGGCTAAATAAAGGCTCTAACACCCTTCGGCAGACCCTTGGATTTGTTGAAAATTCTCGTAGTATTACAAAACTCATGGAGATCTTTAAAGGGATTATATGGATTCTTAAAACCTTTAGAAGCTTATTGGAGGCTTTTGAAAGCTCAGAAATTGTTGGCCACCCTCAAGTGCGGAGATCGGAATTGGTCTTAAGGAGTGTTCAAAGTATGCCTATTAACAGCCATTAAAAACTTATGTAATTATGGAAGACCTTCAAGACAAGTCTCTCAAAAGCTTTTAAAGTGTGTGAAATATTATTAATGGCTTTTAAGGTTTTCCAAAGGATCTAAAAGCTAAATAGCGGCTATAACGCCTTCCAGGAGAGTCTCAGAGTTTCTTATAGACCCTTGAAAGCTTTTGGGGACCTATATAGACATTTAAAAGCCTTTACAAGCCAATTGGATGTCTATGGATGACTGAGGATACTTAAACTTTTTCAAGAACTAATGAGCGGTCTTCAAGATCATTTTTCAAACGCTTTTAAAGCCTTTTAATGGCCCCAAAGAGGTCTAAAAGTCAAGTAGAGGCTCTTAAACTCTCTAGCAGAGTCTCGCAACTCTTAAAAGCCCTTGAGGACTCCTTGATTTTTTTAAAAGCTCTTATCAACTTGCTTGTACGGATTCTTAGAAAGTTTATTGGAGGATTTTCGTTGAGGATCCTTCCCCTTTCTTCTGGGAGGCTCGCTCTGCTCCAAATTCCCTATAGATCCTTTATATATTTAGAGATTCATCTGGGGTTTTCAGAAGTTCTTTGCTGACTATTATATTATTCACAGATTTTTACGAGTAACCATGTTTACATGTCTCTCGGAACATTTAAAATTTCTGCAAAGGCGTTCTTCACAAGATTGATGTAATCTCGCTTGGTGTCTGTAAGGAGAATATTACTTAACTCAAAATCGAACTAGAGTTGCTAACAACTTTCCAGAAATTATTTTAAACATCTTTCAAGGACCTTTAAAGATCTTAAGAGGGCCTCTTCTTAAAAAGCTTCCGTAGAAACGTCGTTTAAAAGTTGAATCCTTGAATAATATATGCAAAATCTTGCTAGAATCTTTAGAGAACGTCCTGTCCCATAACTTACTGGCGTCGCCAGCTTCTATACGCAAATAAACAGCCAGGATCCTAATCCAAAAACCCATCCACACATGAAATCGAAAAAAGTTTATGAAATTTCCGTCAAATAATGAGACAACCCTTTACATCCTACATGACCCAGCCTCAAAGTTGATCATTCTAGTCAAATTGAGGATCACAGAGAAAGCTCGGTACGCACCTGTGGCTCTTGACAATAGATAAGAATGGCCTTCTTATGGTGGTAATGACATCAGAAGATGTTGCGATGTGGTTTGGGAAATAATATCGGTTCCAGATAGTAAGAAATCGACGTAAAGGTCTGGTTATTTTAACAAAAAGACGAGATTTTCACAATTTATTTTACTGTATACATCCATCAAAAAAAATTGTTACCCATGGTGCATCATTGCTTACAAACTATGAGCTTTAGAAGTACTTCTTGGTTTAAAACCGAACCAGAACCCACCTTCTGCGTTAAGACTAAACTGCTTACGCGAAAGTTTGATCGGAACAACCGATTTTTCAACAACAACAATGTCGAAATGCTGCAATATGTTGAAAATTAAGCTTTTGGTCTCAAGTAAGGCGAATCTGTTTCCTATGCAACTGCGGGGCCCCACGCCGAAGGGTATAAAAGTGTAGGGTGCGATGTTGTTTTTGTTTTCGCTGCTAAACCTTTCCGGATCGAAACGGTCGGGGCACGGGTAAAACTTCTCATCGCGATGTATAGCGTATAAAGGGAACATAACGAGGTCTCCTTTGCGTAGATGAATCGGCTTTTCTCCATCGGTCTCAGGTTGTATGGTGTATGGTTTCACGCATACTCTATCGAGTGCAAGTCCACTGGGCCATTTCCGTAGGGTTTCTGCAATATTTAACTTTGAGCGGTAACCCCCAGAATTACACACATACCTGATATCACCATGTCCAAGTATTCCATTTTCAGCAAGGCCTCGTAGGTTAAACGGCCCTTGCATTCCTCCAAAGTGAAGTCAACCTCTTCTTGAAGCCTTTGCTGTATGACCGGGTTGACGGCGAGCTCATACGCGACGAAGCACATCAGAGTGGAAACCGTATCGAATCCGGCAAAGAAGAAAATGAGCGCCTGAGCCGTTACGTCGTCATCGGTCAACTGTATTTTCTGCCTCTTTTCTTCCTTTCCTATCGCAGACTCCTCAAGAACCGCAAATCCTTTATCCATCACTCCGGTGATATGATCGTCGTGCTTTAGCCGCCCCTTCTTCGCTTCCATTAAAAGATGGATCATATCAGGTCGAACAATTCCTTTAGCCTCGCGTTCCCTCATATTTCCCACCACCAACGTTCGGAAAAACCGGCATACTTCTGCGCTGAACACCCGCATACCAAGATACTGAAAGCAATATGTACGCTTGATAGTTCCTCAACTAAACTTACGTTTGCCAGTTTAGGACAGCTAATCATTAAAAGTAGCGAGAGATTCCGCCAGAACCCCGTGAAGTTTGTCGCCTCCTTTCCCATCATGTAAAATTCATTTTCGCGATCCTCCAGCGAATTGCACTTTACACCGAACGACGCCGACGCGATCACGTCATTGGTGTACCTCGTGAAAACGTCCTTCAGTTCAACCACCACCGTTTCGGAACCGCCGTCGTGCTGGAAGTACTGGACGAAATGTTCCGCGCATTCCAACATCAAATTGAACATGCCCTTCATTTTGCTGCTCGTAAACGATGGGCTAAGGGTGGCGCGCGTGTCTCGCCATCTGTCACCTGGAGAAGTTAACATGCATTAGAATCCAAGGAAACTTTGTGTTCTCGATTGGGAAGTCTCACCTTTCAACGCGATTAAGTTTTTCCCCCACAAAGGATCACACTTCTCGTTCGAAAGTTGGTTGTGGTCCACGAAATGATCAAAATCTTTTACTCCCAGCTGCTTAATTAGGTCGATATCTTTAATTAGGAGCATCGGACTCATCAGTTGGTAGGATCCAAAATACCTGTCAATAATATCGGAAGTTATGAGCTTCACGAAATGTGTGTGTGCTGCGAAATCACAGACAGAAACAGAAAGATGATTTCATTAACTGCGACATTTACAGGGTTACAGTTTAACGTAATAGTTTTTTGGGGATGCTTGCAAATTAAGTGGGGGATTTTAGTGCACAAGTAGCAAGTCATGGTGAATCAACAGGAGAATTTATCTGTTCAAGGTGAAAATTAAAGCTATCACCGTCCGTTTTGCGTTTGCATTATTTTTGGGCACGGTTTCCTAGCAGAAATAGAGAAGTTAGTGGCTTATAGCGCTTCATAGCGAACGTGAACAAAATTATATCTCCAAATAAGAGCGATAACCATGCGCGCGATTCGATAAGAACGCATGATTGCTGTTTAACGCTTAAGAGACCAGATTGGAAAGTGGTTTTCGGCCGACGAGGCTAGACTTTGTCTTTGGCTGTCTCGAGGTTACATGTGAATTACGGCTCTTGTTCCGGGAGGATCCGTAGGACCTTATGTTATTTTGCCACTAATTGTTGGGGCATCTGGGTTTTCTGTAACTGTGTCTAGGAAAGAGGCCGTGTAATCCATTGAAAGCACGATTACGCCAACTAAAACCGACGAGGGAATGCGGGCACGGGAGCGGGAGCGGTACGGATGCGGGATATATCTCTAGAGCGGTATGTATGCGCGAATACATCGGTATGCATACTTGCATATCCAGCAAACCGCATACGGTAGGACAATAATTAATTTACCTCTCGATTTACCCGCAACAAACCCTAGTTAATAAATCCTGCACAATTAATATAAACACAGCAGAACATTGGTTTATTATTCCTGTGCACAATCACGAATTCGAGTATTACTTTCGCGAAATTGAAACCGGTTTGCTTAGATTCGCAATACGTATGGACATTTTTGTTCTGCATTCATCACTGTTGCAACAGTACGATCGAAGCAATCTGTTTATATTATTCTAACGAACCGGAATTTTCCAGGGAGAGATAAGATCAATTGTTGCTAGAAGAAAATATTACCCATTGCCAATTATTGCAGGTTATTTTGAATTTTTTGATTTGTATAAAGTCGTGGTCGATTATTTTTAGAAATCTGAATGAGAAATTTTGTTCGAGGTAATTTTAATATTCCTAAAGGAATCGACCCGTGAAGATTATATGCATAAAATAGACTTTGTAGTGTATTTATTGATAGTAATCGAATCTAAACAAAAGATTTTTGGTTATTTTGTTTCAATGATTCGAAAATTCAATCTAATTTGGCCGATACAATTCCTTTGGTTTGATTAAAATTTTGAATCGTATTCAAGGTGTGTATATTTTTAACAGGAGAATGCACCAGTAATTCATTATGCAGTAAAGATTAATTTTAGGTAAATGACGGACGGACCCCTAAAATAATGACGGCATACCCAATATATGAGAAGTATATCGATTTAGTAGATTAAATAAGCATAGAATTGCTGTATTTCATTTGAATTAGTATTACTGTAGTGTAATTTTTCTTTTTAGAATTGCGTGTAATTGCGTATTGTTTATTTAATTGTAAAACGTGAAATTGCCTGTTAAAATGCAGGCACATCTGGTCATTTGCGATAAGAGTTTGTTATCGGGCGAGATTTAATTAATGCACGTGTTTTTATCGCTATTAGAAGAGACATGCAGATGTTCCACAATGTGCGCATTAGCGTAGCGAATTATGATTGGCGCTTTATCTGTAAAAACTGGAAGAAGACTAGCAAGCTAGCTGGTTCGCGACGGTTGGAAAGCGTACACTTCTATTCTATTCACAGGGGAGCCCGACCAACCAGCACTTAGGCATACAAAACGTTCATTGTGCCTACCCCCTTTCTTTCGCAACTAAATTCAGAGCCCGTTCCTTTCAGTAAAGGATAGATCCCTGGTGAGCCTAAGTTGCTTCACCCCCCTCCAGTTCCATATAGCTGTCGCCAAGGAGTTGATGGCTGTCTCTGTTCAAAACGTCACAGTAACAGACCATATGCTCGCTTGTTTCATCTGCCTCGCGACACAACCTGCACGTGGGCTCCTCCACAAGCCCAATGTTATGCAGGTGATATAAGACGAAGACCATCTAGTTCCCAGTAAGGCCACCGGTGATTTTAGAACTTTAGAAGACCCAGATTTGCCAAGAAGCTCCTTTAAAAAGGCCCTTGACTGCCTGAGTCCGGTTGATTATTATCACTGAGCCTGGAATTGACTGGTCACACAGTCTTTAATCGTGGCCTTGAGAGGGAACAATTCCTAGGGAAGGGTAGGGTCCGATGAAGACCCCACCACTCCCTTTCATTTCCTCTCGTCTCAATCTTTTTTTAGCCCCTGCCTCCACAGCTAGTGTAAAGACTCTGGTCTCTGAAGTGTCTCCATGGCCAAAGTTGGCGTCGTTTTCATGGCTCCAGAAACTCCCAGATAGAAGAGTCTCTGACCCTCTGACCCTCTGACTTCCTCTAAGAGTGAGCCCATCAAGGGTCTCTCTCTTTCTATTCGTAAGTGGATCAACCTCACTCTTTCGCGGGTTAACGGAAAGGCCATGGATACGTGAACTGTTCAAGAGCCTCCTGCATGAGATCTTTCACTCTGTAATTGGGTGCAAGCCTGTTGAGGGCCCAGAACAAGAGAGGGTCAATAAATAAATAAATGACGATCGCGAGATTTGGACCGTCTGAATAGCCACCGGAAATTCGGCATGAGATTCATCGAGTTAATGCCGATTGTCATCAAGATGTGTATCCTAAAGAAAACTTAAGCACTGAAGATGTCAGCGTTTGTGTGTAGAGTTAAGTTCGCCTTATTTACCGCAAACATTATTAGGATTATTAAAAAAGAAAGCAAAAAACTGTGAGTACCTTTAAGATTTTCTTGTCTTTTGTCGAAGAACTGCGTGCGGGGTAATTTGTCCATTCAAGCTTTACAAGCTTCTCTTTCACCCCGGAATTTTGTTTAAGGTTCTCTTATTTGTTTCGAAATAAAATTTAGTCATTGTCAGTCAAGTAATTGTGTGTTTATTCGAACCCGTGCTGTAAAAGTGTTTTACGTGTCGTAAAATAGGACATTTAAGTAAAGAATGCCCAAATCGAAAATTAGATTTACAAAATGAATAAAGTGGCGACGAGGCACTTTCCCTTACCCCCTACTTGCCCGCACCTATGCCAAATTGTCAAGTTTACCTTTAAGTTATGAATCATTTACCTACTTTCGTGATAAATTTAGAGCAGTAAGTACATCTTGAGAACTCACAAATTTATTACAGTAATGGGATTCTCTGTAGAGGTAGAGATTTATCTACGATCGTTGTATTTTTGTCGACAGTTCGTCGCAGATGTTCCTGTAAGCTGAAGGGGGCACTGACGTCAAGATTATCCCACGGAAAAAGAACACTTGCGAATCGCAATGAAACCCTCTTCGTGTGCGATTTTTTTAGAGGGCGGCAGATCACAATTCGTGAGCAATTTTAGTGCCATTCGTATAGTGAAAGATTGTATGGGTGGACTTTTAGGCTAATCCACATTGGGGAAACCGTTTCGCTTTCCTTTGCTTGAAATACAGGAACTTTAAATTGACAGAAGATAAACTAAAGCAATATTCCTTGGGCGCTGTCGTGCAATAAATTATTAAGGTATTTGTGTACTCGTGTACCTACTGTGACTGTAACTACAACAATTAAAGCATATCATGTGCCAGAGCTCCACTAATGCAAGCGCTTGGTTTTTAGGGTTCGTTCAGACAATGCGGTAGGTACTAATGAAGATCTTATTTACATGCAAATGTGCCAAATCGCTCACGCCTAACCGCGCGGAGATCGCGCGATAGCCGTCGCGGCTGAACGAGACTTTATAATGTATTCCCGTTATGCGCAGTAATTTACCTGCAATCTGGGAACTGTTCGTAGAGCTTTATAAGTCCATCGGCTACTGGCGATAACTGCAAGGTTGCCTTAATATTGCCCCACCATAGTTTCGCGACACTGAGTTGAACAACACCCCGGTTAGACCAATGTTGAAACGGTCTAATTAGTATATAGTATGCCAGAAGGCATAAACCGGCGGCTATTACAAGAAACGAAAACATTTTACGTTTTATTCGCGTTCTGGGTCAAGGCGTACTGAACAAAAAGTGAAGGTTGGGATATAACTGACTCATCGATTATTGTGGAATTCCTGTTTTCGTTGATAAATACAATTTACGTGCGTGAGAATGTTTACTCAAAGACTGAGTATGGGTTTTCAGTCAACCACAATCAATGGGATTTAAAAATCGCGAGTCATTGAAGATAATCGCAGCGATAGGGAAGGCAAATATATAATTACTAGGTGCTTGATACTAATGCACATGAAACAGTGGATTTCGAAATCGAAGCCATTCGAAAAAATGGAGGCATATCAGACCCGTTGGAAGAGGATTAGACCAAATGCTGAAATTCAGTATCCACAAAATGGGGGTCGAGATAGTGCATATACGCAGATTTGTGGCAGAAGGTTCTCCCCAAAGAAAAGGACCGTTCCAGATCCTTACTTTCGTCGCAACCTTACACATAGACATTTTATACCAACTCCTCTGAAAGGGTGGCATTCACGCTTCTCACGTACCTACTTCAGGTAGGTCTACCCAATTTCTAAGTGTGTAATAATTTTGTGCCCGTTATGCGCTATTCCTGTTGTACCATTCAAGTATCAACGGTTAAGTGGAAGAGCAGGTAAGAATTTTTCCACAGCTGAACTTCGCCGTTTGGACACTATCATGTTTTTTTGGTTTTCTTCTTTATTTCTTCTTGTTATATTGATATTTTGTGTCCAATAAAGTTCTATTATTATTATATTATTGCTATTGAGATCTCACGAGTTTGGGAGCGATTAAAACTTTAGAATGAGGTCTCCCAACTTCACAGCTATACTGGATGTTGTAAAAATGGGTGCCTATTTGTTCCTCATAATGTTGTGTTATTTTTGCCGTATCATCATTTTGTTCTTGTATGATTTTTTAATTAATTAACTTTTTAGAATCAAGGTCCAACTTACTTTTTGACCAGGCATTGTAGAATTCTAAAATAACCTTCCGTAGAATCACTAGTAAACAATTCACAGATTTCGCAATCCACATGCAACCATCGGGCACATTGGAAATGACAACCGTATAACGCCATATGTAAAACACAAATAACTCCTAATTAATCGGATCACTCGCAAGCTCGCTCTTGCCGCAATATATTGCTTGAGTTTTTCAAAGTCTGAAAGAATTACAAAACAACTGAAGCATATCTCTCAATAACCACATTATATAATAATGAGTCAACCTTTTGTGGTCACCCAAATGGTTGCGATTAGCGAAACATTATTTAAGTTACAGAAAACACCTGTCGGGCTAACTCAAACAAATCAAAATTGAAACTTTGAAAATTTGTTCCAAAACACAAAATGAAAATTACAACATAATTCCTGAAAGACAGAAAAGCTTACAAAGCTTGTTTGGACAAATTACTCCGCAAGCAGGTGGTCGACAAAGAAAATAAGAAAATATTAAAATTACTTTTCTCTTTTAATAATCCTATTCCGGTCGTTCAAAGGTTTATGATAAACAAGGCGCACTTAACTCCAAACACAGACGCTGACAGCTTCTGAACTTTACTTTTCTTTAACACACAAATCTTGATTAATACACAACATTAACTTGAAAAACAAAATGACGATTTGCCGGTGGCTGTTCAGACGGTACAAACGTTTAACTTTTAACAATAATAGTAGTTTGACAAAGGGCCCCACGGTGCACTAACTGCGTACTTCTTCTACTTGACAGACCTTTCCAAAAATAAACTATATACATATACAGTGAGTTTTTTTAAATGCGAACATAGGAGTTTGCATGCAATGTGATTTCCCTATGTTCGATTTAAAAAAACACATCAATCTATGCGGTGTGCGCGGTTCACATTTCCAAATCGCGCAACTTGTGTGACTATGAACAGCAACTCTAATAGCCTTTATGATGAAGAGCACCCGGTAAGATTTTTTTTAAAGAAGCCATGTGAGGCCATAGCAACTTTAGGGTACAACTTACGATAACTTGACCTCACAGGCCCCGCACTGACACGACAACTCATTGTGAACCAACCTTCAATTATTTGTAGGTCATGTGCACCTGGTATTCTACTAATTTGATCTATTCAGAGCTGGGCAGTATTCGATTTTGTAAATACTTTTTAGTATTTAAATCCTTTAAAGTATTCAAATACTTTGTAATTAAATACTTTGATGGAAGCAGTATTTGTATTTGTAACTCAAATACTTTTACAAATATTTAGTATTCGAATACTTCGCAAAGTATTTGGATACTTCGTAAAATATTCGAATACTTCGCATAGTATTTGAATTTTGGTGCGTAGAATCCAAAACAATTCGTACTTTTTCGATTAGACTTCTCAGCCAAAAGTTAAGGACTAGAAACCAATTTCGAAAATTCAAAGGGCTGTAACTTTTGAACTAGTAGCCCAATCTTGGAACTGTTTGAAATTATGGATTCTACAGGCCCATTCTATAAGAAAATTTTTTTCCGGGTCGATCTGAGACAATTTTTTTTTCGGGCCTCAAAAAAAGGCAGTGTATAACCTTCCTTTCTCGGGAAAACACTTTTCCTTATTAATTTTGGTGCTTAGAATCCAAAACGATTCGTACTTTTTCGATCGGACTTTTCAATCAAAGATGGACCAGAAACCAATTTCGAAAGAAAATTCAAAGGGCTCTAACTTTTGAACTAGTAGCCCAATCTTCAAACTGTTTGAAATTATGGATTCTAGGGGCCAAATCCTATTAGAAAATGTTTTTTCCCGGTCGATCTCAGACAATTTTTTTTCCGGCTTCAAAAAAAGGCAGTTATTCAAATATTTGAGAACAATTTAGAAATGTTTAGGGAAAGTTTCCATTGTCATAAAATCAAATATAAAAATCCGATTCAACTGAATACCGAACGATCCTGGACTGAAACTTTTTGGCTCGTTAGTCTACTTAACTTAAAAACAATAGGGACCTTTCTTATATCCTTAAGACCATGTGTACCAATTTTACTTTTGAAAATATTCGAATACTTATTTTTTGAAGTATTTGAATACTTTTCGATGTATCTGTATCTAGTATTCGCTTGCGCTGGACGTAAAAGTATTTAGTATTCAAATACGTTTGATTTGTGTAAAGTATTTACTATTTAATATTCAAATACTTTTTGAAGGTATTCTGCCCAGCTCTGGATCTATTCAATACATTAATGAAGAAAATAAGAAAATAAATACCGAAAACAATTACAATAAATGTTCGGAGTGTCCTCCTTGACATTCTAAGCAATAACTTAACCGATTTCGTAATTAAATTGGACGGCGGTATTTTTAAAAATGTGACAGCTGTCAATTGTATCTACTACTCATTTGAACTACTCAATAGATTGATGTGTTTTTTTAAAAATCGAACATAGGGAAATTTCATTGCATGCAAACTCCTATGTTCGCATTTAAAAAAAATTCGCTGTATGTCGCAGAAGTAACGGATAGTAATTACAATTCTTCTGTATCGAAAACCAGATGCAATCAAACGTTAAGCTCGCGGAGTATCGACGAAATTAATATATTACCTTTGAGCCGTAGCCGCGACCGATTCCGAGCTCAAAAAGGGCGTTGTCTGCCAAAATCCGGAATCAGATATACACCAGAACAAAAAAAGAGAGAGTGTGACCAGCACAATATAAAAAGTGCTGTTTGTCACGTCAAGCGTCTCAACTCAACATAGAAATACCCTCGGAAATACCAAAGTATTTTTGGTGTTTTTGCGAAATTTTGTGGTGCTACTTAAGATCAAAAGTATATTGTGGATATTTGGTTCTATATAAAGACATAATTTACTGTGTATAAAGTGAATAGAAATTAATTACGAAAAGTTTGGTTATGCTGCTCAATTGTGATAATAAACACACAGCGTTCTTATGATATTCAAACAACGTAATGGCTCCCGATCAAAAACCGTGCACCCTTGCGAATTAAAAAAAAGTACGACGTGCTGTCGCTATACCCCCGCTTCGTCATGTATCACTATTTCCTATTATTCGTTGGGCCTCGAAAAATGCATTTTTTCTAGATAAATTCACATGTTCCGCTTCGTAGGGCGTACGGGGGTAATCGTTTTTTATGTTTTTTTTAAATGATTTTCGCTCCTTCGCTTGTTGCGAATTTTCAAATTCGCCACCTTCCCCAATTAAATTCGATTTAGTAGATTTTTTGTTTTCTGGACATGTTTGGGCATAACAGTAAATTAACCCAATTTCATTTTGGAAACTAGGGTAGGAATTTTGGGAGAAGTACAGAATTAATGGAGAGATGGTGTATTTTTCGGATCATCGTAGATTCTAGTTCTTTGATTGTTACGTTTACAGGGTTTAACTAGCAACCATATTATACAGTGATATTTATTTAGAAGTACAAATAGGGATTTATGTATATACTATTTTTTCCTATGTCTACTTTCAAATGATAAAATCTCTTCTGAAGGGCGCCTAATTTTATGCATACAAAATAGCTTTTTAAAATAAATAATCTGACTGTAATATTAATTAGTTTGAATATTGTTGCTTTGACTTAACAGAAAATAAATCTCTTACTTGCTACCGGGACTATACCAATTGACAATACCAACTTTTTCTCCAGTTAAATACATCGCACACGAACTAAAATAAAATCCGGAAGCTATAACAACAATATTCAAATTAATTAATCCGACAGCCAGATGTTAATTTGTTTTAGGAAGTTACTTTGGTTGCATAAAATTCGGTGCCTTTCAGAAGAGCAAAAGTAGACATAGGAAAAAATAATACGCATAAATCCCTATGTCTACTTCTTAATAAATAGCACTGTATACATCATTATACCCCAACATTAAATGTAAAACCGTTCTTTGTTTCGGGAAAAGGTAAAAGGGTAGTAATCCCTACGACCTTCTCACTCAGGTCAGTAGATAAGTCAATATATTGGCATAAGCAGACGTTTGAAGCTTCATCAGTGGTCACTAAATCCTACTTGGGGGTAGTCGCCGTTTACGTCATCTAAAAACACTGGTTCTGCGTGCGAGGGCTCCAGGAAATCTTTGGACTATTTTAGAGTTATGGGGAATCAAACACACATCTGACACATTTATAGAGGTTTATTATGACAATGAGAAACACTACAAAAGTGTACTTTAGGTTCTGGGCTCAAGCCCCACCCAAAATCCCTTCTCAACACTCAATGAAAACTGGTTAGGTTTCAGTTTGATGGGAACTTGAGTTTCCTTAATGACAACTACGTTAAAGTGTTGGAATAACTTAAAAATTAACATCTTCGCCTCGAGTAAGCCAAACCTGTTACCGATGCAGCTTCTGGGACCAATACCGAAAGGAAGATAAGAACCAGGCTCAATGTTTGACTTGTTCTCGTCACTAAACCGTTCCGGATCGTAGCGATCGGGATTGGGATAAAATTTGGGATCACGATGCATGCTAAATATCGGTATCCCGACAATGGCTCCTTTTTGTAAGTGCACCGGTTTCTCTCCCGGATGTACCGGCTCGATTGTAAACGGTTTGGAGCAGACGCGATCTGACAGGGCAATACTGGGATATTTTCGCAAGGACTCTAAAATGGAAGCTGAGGTTGGGTGTTTTTTGTACTTTCACTCACCTGATAGCACCATGTCCAGGTACTTCATTTTCAACAAACTTTCGTAGGTAATTGCCCCATCGTGTTTGCGTAGAGTCTCGTCAATTTCCTCCTGTAACTGTGTCTGCACATCGGAGTTCACGGCAAGTTCGTGCGCGGTGAAACACATCAAGTTGGCGACGCTCTCGAAACCGGCAAAGAAAAATATGAGTGCCTGCGCTATCAAATCATCTTCGGTAAGCTCGACTTTCCGCACTTCTTTTCCAATGGCTGACTCCTCAATGGATGAGAATCCCGAATCGATAGCATCTGCGTCAAGGTCGTGCTTCAGTCGACCATTCCTCGCCTCCATCAGCAAATGGATCATGTCTGGTCGTATAATTCCACTCTTTTCTCTCGCCTCAATTGTGGATTTTACTAAATTGCGAAAAAACGCGGTCGCTTGCGGACTGAAGAATCTGATACCTAAGGACTAATTGAGACGGCTGCAAAAGGTTAATTGATCGAACTACTTACCTTTGCAACACGTGGAAACAACGTGACGATTAAAAAGCTAATGTTCTTCCAGACGCCCGACAGTTTCGTCAGTTCTTTGCCCATCAGGTAGAACTCATTTTCGGGACACTTAAGGGAATTGCACGACAGCCCAAACGCGGCGGAGGCAATCACGTCATTTGAAAACCTGGTAAGTAGGTCTTTTAGCTCTATGTCAATCCTCGACGAGCCCTTTTCTTGCAAATGCCCAATGAATTGCTCTGTACATTCTTCAAAGAGCCTGAACATTCCGCGCATTTTGCTACTGGTAAATGACGGGCTGAGAGTGGACCTCATCGCCTTCCAGCGTTCCCCTGCGATTGTGCGTAAACTTGGACAATTTCTAAGTGAACTCACCTTGCAACAAAAGCAGAACCCTTCCGAACAACGGTTCCACTTCTTCATTGACAAACGGGTAATGATTAACGAACGAATCAAACTCCTTAATTCCAACCTCCTTCACTAAGCCCGGGTCCTTTATCAGCAAAATGTTGGAGGTAAACATGTTAATTCCGATGTATCTGAAAGAGTTACAGAATTAGAGACCGAGAAAGTAGCGTACACCTACCTTTCATCGGGGTAGCGATTTTGCAAGTCGACCAAAGTTTCGCATCCGGGCTCAAATTGGAGGATCAATTTGAAAAAGGTTCGCCACAAATCCAAAGGGCCGCACTGGTTCACCCCCTGCCATTTCCAATAAAATGTTATCTTGACGATCAAGTAGACAAGCGCCGCGCAGAAGGTTGTTAAGAGCAAAACGCCCAGCATTATTACACGAAATGGCGTAAGTAGTTAATTATTCGAACAGTTTGTAGTGGATCTTGCTGCGTCTGTCAATAAAATAATGTTTGAGATCAGATAGGAAATTTGCCGTATTACGTAACAGCTATAATTCGTGCGGCGCCAACGTGACTGGAATTGAACGTAAACTCATTTCCTCTCGCTTTTATTATAAACAGATGCGTTGGATGGTTTTGCAATTGATTCTTAACACATGCATTGAATAAATTAGTTTGAATTTAAAGTCTGTTGCGTTGTGGCAAGTATAGTGACATGTAGGAAAGTTTTTGAGGAAAGGCGCATGAAACTTTAACAGTGGCATCTCCAGAAATATTTCAATGGACCAATATGTTTTAGGGTGGGCCATAATTCGCTAGGTATTGTGGGAGGAGATGGCTATCAAAAGATCAATTTACAAATACGAAATAGTGATTTACATAAAAGTTAGGAAAATGACACATTACTGGCGAGGAAATGTTGAAGCACGAGGCTCCTTTGGGGCCGAGTACTTTAATTTCCAAGTCAAGTAGTGTCATTTTACTGACTTTTGTATGAAATTTTACCCGAAATCGTATTTTAATATAAAATTTCAATTTTTATATAGAACTTTTTCACTATCCCAAGATTTTCACAAAGGTAACTGACAGAAAATTAAATTCTTTCTTTCCCATAGCAACAAATAAGTGATATTTTCTATCTGTTCAAATTAAGGTCGATTAAATAACTTAAATAAAGATTTTCCTAATTTTCTCGAAAACGAGTGGGCCAATTTAAAAAAATCAAGCCTCTAAATAAAGGACTTCGAAAAACCTTTCAAACAAGCTATTACTCGATACCGCTTGCCGTTTAAAATTTTTAAGAGAATGATCCTGGGGGTCAGAGGGTGAAAGAGGGTGAAGTAGTTTTTGGTTAAAAAGTTGTCCCCCTTGACAAATCTTTTTACGTGTCTCGGCGTTTTTTCCTTTAATCAGAGGTTTTCGATAAATCCAAGTTTTCACTTCACCCTGTAGATTGCATATTATTAACGAGCAATAAAAAGAGAGTTTATGATTGTAGACTTTCTGCCCGTCCGTCGGTCCGTCTATCTGTCCGTCCGTCCGTCTATCCGTCCGTCCGCCCGTCCGTCCGTCTGTGGACATGATAACTCACTAACGGTTTCGAATTTTTCAATTCTGTTTTTAGCAATTACTAGGTAGACAATGGTCAAGGGACTAATTGATAAAATTTTGGTCAATATTCGTCAACCGTCGCGCTCGTTGTTTATTTCGATCTAGTTACCCATAAAAATGATAAAGTCGACTTCATAAACCTCAATATAACAAGACTGTAGATTTAAAAAAGAATATTCGCGTATAACAATTCATTCACTTGGCCCTCTAATGGAAGCCAAAACTTCAAATTCTCAAAAATGCACTAAAGAATACGAAAACGTTTTTGAGAACATCTTATAAGGTAACAATGTATCCGTTACTTTATTTAGAGCGTCTAAACGCTGCTTTACAAACTAATTAAATTGTCGATCATTAGATGTCGCTAACCGACCATAACAAATAATAACAATATGTCCTTTTCACTTCCTAGTCTTATCAGTAATCATACCTTGTATAAAAGGAAGATTCCTTGATTTCACCGAACACTTCCTCCTGTCACTTGCTAACCTGAAAACCAGATATTCAAATCTGAAAACTTCAAAACTCTTCATCCGATTTCCCGTGATTCATTTACTACCATTTTCCGTTTATCCTGCAGCGTTTGACCACCTGTCCCTGCTCGGGCGCCAATTCTGTAAGGGTTCTTGTTGGGCACTCGGGTAGCTGCAGTCCTGACCCTGATTCTAAGTGAAATTTATAAACACACAACTTTGATTCATTTTGTAACAATAGAGTACACCCTGTACAGAGCTGGGCAGTATTCGATTTTGTAGATACTTTTTAGTATTCAAATCCTTTAAAGTATTCAAATACTTTGTAATTAAATACTTTTATGGAAGCAGTATTTGTATTTGTAACTCAAATAGTTTCACAAATATTTAGTATTCCAATACTTCGCAAGGTATTTGAATACTTTGAGCAGTATTCGAATACTTCGCATAGTATTTGAATACTTCCTTTTTTTTAACAAAAATCGACTACACCAAAATTTCTCGGGAAAACACTTTTTCTTATTAATTTTGCTGCGAAGAATCCAAAACAATTCGTACTTTTTCGATCAAACTTCTCAATGCAAAGTTATAGACTAGAAACCAATTTCGAAAAAAAATTCAAACGGCTGTAACTTTTGAACTAGTAGCCCAATCTTCAAACTGTTTGAAATTATGGATTCTACGGGCCAAATTCTATAGGAAAATGATTTTTCCCGGTCGATCTCAGACAATTTTTTCTGCGGGCCTCAAAAAAAGGCAGTGTATAACCTTCCTTTTTTACCAAAAATCGACCACACCAAAATTTCTCGGGAAATCACTTTTTCTTATTAATTTTGGTGCGTGGAATCCAAAACAATTCGTACTTTTTCGATCAGACTTCGCAACCAAAGGTTAAAGACTAGAAACCAATTTCGAAAGAAAATTCAAAGAGCTGTAACTTTTGAACTAGTAGCCCAATCTTCAAACTGTTTGAAATTATGGATTCTACGGGCCAAATTCTATAAGAAAATGTTTTTTTTTTTTCCGGGTCGATCTGAGACAATTTTTTTTTCGGGGCTCAAAAAAAGGCAGTGTATAACCTTCCTTTTTTACTAAAAATCGACTGCACCAAAATTTCTCGGGAAAACACTTTTTCTTATTAATTTTGGTGCGTAGAATCCAAAACAATTCGTACTTTTTCGATCAGACTTCTCAATCAAAAGTTATACACTAGAAAACCAATTTCGAAAGAAAATTCAAAGGGCTGTAACTTTTGAACTAGTAGCCCAATCTTGGAACTGTTTGAAATTATGGATTCTACA